AAAATTGAGTTTAATTAGATGTTTGAACTGAATTGAGTGACGAACAAAATTTGAACTGAATTGAGTGACGAACAAAATTTGAACTGAATTGAGATTCATTAGATGGTCTTTTTTGGGGGTTTAAAATAATTAATATTCAGTAATATTATCAATTTGACAACACTCACACTATCAGATGAGAACAAAACTGAGTTTAATTAGATGTTTGAACTGAATTGACTGACGAACAAAATTTGAACTGAATTGAGATTCATTAGATGGTCTTTTTTCCGGGTTTAAAATAATTAATATTCAGTAATATTATCGATTAGACAGTACTCACACTATCAGATGAGAACAAAATTGAGTTTCTTTAGATGTTTGAACTGAATTGAGTGACAAACAAAATTTTAACTGAATTGAGTGACGAACAAAATTTTAACTGAATTCAGATTCATTAGATGGTCTTTTTTGGGGGTTTAAAATAATTCATATTGAGTAATATTATCCATCTGACAGCACTCACGCTATCAAATGAGTACAAAACTAAGTTTAATTAGATGTTTGAACTGAATTGACTGACGAACAAAATTTGAACTGAATTGAGATTCATTAGATGGTCTTTTTTCCGGGTTTAAAATAATTAATATTCAGTAATATTATCGATTAGACAACACTCACACTATCAGATGAGAACAAAATTGAGTTTCTTTAGATGTTTGAACTGAATTGAGTGACAAACAAAATTTGAACTGAATTGAGTGACGAACAAAATTTGAACTGAATTGAGATTCATTAGATGGTCTTTTTTGGGGGTTTAAAATAATTAATATTCAGTAATATTATCGATCTGACAGTACTCACACTATCAAATGAGTACAAAATTGAGTTTCACTGGATGTTTGAACTGAATTGAGTGACGAACAAAATTTGAACTGAATTGAGATTCATTAGATGGTCTTTTTTTGGCATGAAACATCAATTCATATTTATTATTTACCAATTTAACTGCACTGACACTATCGGATGAGAACAAAATTGAGTTTCACTAGATGTTTGAATTGAATTGAGTGACAAACAAAATTTGAACTGAATTGAGTTTCATTAGATGGTCTTTTTTGCGGGTTTAAAATAATTAATATTCAGTAATATTATCGATTTGACAGTACTCACACTATCAGATGAGAACAAAATTGAGTTTCTTTAGATGTTTGAACTGAATTAAATAATGAACCAAATTTGAACTAAATTGAGTTTTATTAGATGGTTTTATGGCATGAAACGACAATTAATATGAATAATTTAGCAATATTTACCATTTAAACGGCACTGACACTATCGGATGAGAACAAAATTGAGTTTCTTTAGATGTTTGAACTGAATTGAGTGACAAACAAAATTTGAACTGAATTGAGTGACGAACAAAATTTGAACTGAATTGAGATTCATTAGATGGTCTTTTTTGGGGGTTTAAAATAATTAATATTCAGTAATATTATCGATCTGACAGTACTCACACTATCAAATGAGTACAAAATTGAGTTTCACTGGATGTTTGAACTGAATTGAGTGACGAACAAAATTTGAACTGAATTGAGATTCATTAGATGGTCTTTTTTTGGCATGAAACATCAATTCATATTTATTATTTACCAATTTAACTGCACTGACACTATCGGATGAGAACAAAATTGAGTTTCACTAGATGTTTGAATTGAATTGAGTGACAAACAAAATTTGAACTGAATTGAGTTTCATTAGATGGTCTTTTTTGCGGGTTTAAAATAATTAATATTCAGTAATATTATCGATTTGACAGTACTCACACTATCAGATGAGAACAAAATTGAGTTTCTTTAGATGTTTGAACTGAATTAAATAATGAACCAAATTTGAACTAAATTGAGTTTTATTAGATGGTTTTATGGCATGAAACGACAATTAATATGAATAATTTAGCAATATTTACCATTTAAACGGCACTGACACTATCGGATGAGAACAAAATTAAGTTACAAATAGATGTTTGAACTGAACTGAGTGACAAACAAAATTTGAACTGAATTGAGTTTCACTGGATGCTCTTATTTTGGGGTTTAAAAGACAATTAATATTCAGTAATATGATCGATTCAAAGGCACTGATACTATCGGATGAGAACTGAATTGTGAACTACAGCTGAATCGATGAATCCAATGTTTTTGAACCGAATTATATCAACATTGAAAACTGAATGACACTTATCTTCTGTAGAGCTGAAATTAGTTTCATAATTGATGAATTTTTCAACATTAGCACTTATTTTCCTGTCTATTTCTGTGAAGCGGCTTTGAAACAATCTGTAAAATGTATCTGTATAATAAGAATATGGATGAGTTTTAACTCTGAGCTCATGCCTGAGTCAGATTATATAATCCTCACAAATCCCAACTAGCGTTCAGGAGCAAACGAGTGGACTTACGGATTTAGTGCCGTGCTGAAGCGTGATCTCATGAGTATCCGGGATCTTCTTCACTGGATTCTGTTACAGAAAGAGAGAGAGAGAAACACCTTCAGCAACTTTTGAAGCCCATGTTCATCTTTCTTTAGTGTGTAATGTTGCAGTTTGAGCATGAAAAAGCTCCAGTTCTTCTCTATATCAGTGTTTCTGAACTCCTGAACTCCTCGTTTCTTCCGGGAACGAACACGTCTCAATATTCCTCATTTAAATAATTAGTATGCAGAATAAAGGGGCGGGGCCTGGTTGAGTTAGTTAGTAGTGTGTTAAACTGGCGGTTATGGTAAGGGGCGGGACATTTCCCAAACACACTCGACCAATCACAACACACTGCTCCAGCCGACCAATCAGAGCACAGTGTGCTTTTCAGAAGGAGGGGCTTCATAGAGACAGGAACTAAACAGAGCGTTACTGACAGACTGGGAAGAGAGGAGCCGCAACAATGGAGAATATGAGGAAAATAATCAACATTCAAGCAGGAAAACCTGTTCTAGTAGAGCCTGAAAACATCAAGACTGTAAAAGGGCATGTAGGTCCCCTTTAATTCAGGATACGGTTCCGTTTTATTTCTTTTAGTACAAAACACGCTGCTAAAAGCGCTCACAGTGGGATTGTTCTCCGAATGAAACAGACGCAGGTCTGTGTGATTTGTGGCGTTGGCTGATTAACGCTCGAACAAAACTCGCACGGCACACCTGGGCCTGATGGGATACATTAAGCGGAGTACAGAGACATCACCGGGGCGGCCCGACACCAGAACACATCTATCAAACCGGCCCACAGCGGCCCTCAAACACCACAGGCCTGGGGAAGAGGAGGCCTGCACACTGTCAGAGAGAGAGCAAGACATTTACTACAGACCGAGAGAGAGAGAGAGACCGAGACCGAGAGAGACCGAGAGAGAGAGAGAGAGGAGAGAGAGAGAGAGAGAGAGAGAGAGAGAGACCGAGAGAGACCGAGAGAGACCGAGAGAGACCGAGAGAGAGAGAGAGAGAGAGAGACCGAGAGAGAGAGAGAGAGAGGAGAGAGAGAGAGAGAGAGAGAGACCGAGAGAGAGAGAGAGAGAGACCGAGAGAGACCGAGAGAGAGAGAGAGAGAGAGAGGAGAGAGAGAGACCGAGAGAGACCGAGAGAGAGAGAGAGAGAGAGAGTATTTTATTTTATATTATATGTTATTTTACTATATATTATATAGTAATGTTTTTAATATTCTTTTCATTTTAAAGTGAAATATGACCTATCTGTATTCTTCAGAGAGGTTCCATGAGATTCATCCAAACTAAAGAGCAGAATGTCTCTGAAAAGCTCAATAGAGACGTCTAAGGTCAATGACAGGAGAAGAGAGTCTTTAGAGAAGAAACCAAAAGACAAGCTTCACACAGTCTCGAGTCTTCTATATTTCCAGGAATGATAATGGCAGTGTGGCCCTCTAGTGGCACAACTGATACATTACAAAGACACTGCACTGTATGTCACTGAGATCATACATCATACTCATCATACATCTCATCATATATCACTCATGCATCTCATCATATATGTCATCATATATTACTCGTCATGCATCTCATCATATATCTCGTCATGTATCACTCGTCATCATACAGCACTCATCATCATATAGCACTCACATCATATAGCACTCATCATCATATAGCACTCATCATCATATAGCACTCACATCATATAGCACTCATCATCATCAAGCACTCATCATCATATAGCACTCATCACACTCATCATCATATAACACTCATCATCATATAGCACTCATCATCATATAGCACTCAATCACACTCATCATCATATAACACTCAATCATATAGCACTCAATCATATAGCACTCAATCATATAGCACTCAATCATCATATAGCACTCATCATCATATAACACTCAATCATATAGCACTCAATCATATAGCACTCAATCATCATATAGCACTCAATCATATAGCACTCAATCATATAGCACTCAATCATATAGCACTCAATCATATAGCCTCAATCATATAGCACTCAATCATATAGCACTCAATCATATAGCACCCAATCATATAGCACTCAATCATCATATAGCACTCATCATCATATAGCACTCAATCATATAGCACTCAATCATATAGCACTCAATCACACTCATCATCATATAGCACTCAATCATATAGCACTCAATCATATAGCACTCAATCATATAGCACTCAATCATATAGCACTCAATCATATAGCACTCAATCATCATATAGCACTCATCATCATATAGCACTCAATCATATAGCACTCAATCACACAGCACTCAATCATATAGCACTCAATCATATAGCACTCAATCATATAGCACTCAATCATCATATAGCACTCAATCATATAGCACTCAATCATATAGCACTCATCATCATATAGCACTCAATCATAGCACTCATCATCATATAGCACTCAACACATTCATCATCATATAACACTCAATCATATAGCACTCATCATCATATAACACTCATCATCATATAGCACTCAATCATATAGCACTCAATCATATAGCACTCAATCATATAGCACTCAATCATATAGCACTCAATCATATAGCACTCAATCATATAGCACTCAATCATCATATAGCACTCAATCATATAGCACTCAATCAAATAGCACTCAATCATATAGCACTCATCATCATATAGCACTCAATCATAGCACTCATCATCATATAGCACTCAACACATTCATCATCATATAACACTCAATCATATAGCACTCATCATCATATAACACTCATCATCATATAGCACTCATCATCATATAGCACTCATCATCATATAACACTCATCATCATATAGCACTCATCATCATATAACACTCATCATCATATAGCACTCATCATCATATAGCACTCAATCATATAGCACTCATCATCATATAACACTCATCATCATATAGCACTCATCATCATATAACACTCATCATCATATAGCACTCATCATCATATAACACTCATCATCATATAGCACTCATCATCATATAGCACTCAATCATATAGCACTCAATCATATAGCACTCAATCATATAGCACTCATCATCATATAACACTCATCATCATATAGCACTCATCATCATATAACACTCAATCATATAGCACTCAACCATATAGCACTCAATCATATAGCACTCAATCATATAGCACTCAATCATATAGCACTCATCATCATATAACACTCATCATCATATAGCACTCAATCATATAGCACTCATCATCATATAACACTCATCATCATATAGCACTCAATCATATAGCACTCATCATCATATAACACTCATCATCATATAGCACTCATAATCATATAGCACTCAATCATATAGCACTCAATCATATAGCACTCAATCATCATATAGCACTCAATCATCATATAGCACTCAATCATCATATAGCACTCAATCATATAGCACTCAATCATATAGCACTCAATCATATAGCACTCAATCATATAGCACTCAATCATCATATAGCACTCAATCATCATATAGCACTCAATCATCATATAACACTCAATCATATAGCACTCAATCATATAGCACTCATCATCATATATCACTCAATCACACTCATCATCATATAACACTCAATCATATAGCACTCAATCATCATATAGCACTCAATCATCATATAGCACTCAATCATCATATAGCACTCATCATATAGCACTCATCATATAGCACTCATCATATAGCACTCAATCATATAGCACTCAACATATAGCACTCAACATATAGCACTCACTCATATAGCACTCAATCATATAGCACTCAATCATATAGCACTCAATCATATAGCACTCAATCATATAGCACTCATCATCATATAGCACTCAATCATCATATAGCACTCAATCATATAGCACTCAATCATATAGCACTCAATCATATAGCACTCAATCATATAGCACTCAATCATCATATAGCACTCAATCATATAGCACTCAATCATATAGCACTCATCATCATATAGCACTCAATCATCATATAGCACTCAATCATCATATAGCACTCAATCATATAGCACTCAATCATCATATAGCACTCATCATCATATAGCACTCAATCATATAGCACTCAATCATATAGCACTCAATCATATAGCACTCATCATCATATAGCACTCAATCATCATATAGCACTCAATCATATAGCACTCAACCATATAACACTCAATCATATAGCACTCATCATCATATAGCACTCAATCATCATATAGCACTCAATCATATAGCACTCATCATCATATAGCACTCAATCATATAGCACTCAATCATCATATAGCACTCAATCATCAATCATCATATAGCACTCAATCATCATATAGCACTCAATCATCAATCATCATATAGCACTCAATCATCATATAGCACTCAATCATCATATAGCACTCAATCATATAGCATTCAATCATCATATAGCACTCAATCATATAGCACTCATCATCATATAGCACTCAATCATCATATAGCACTCAATCATCATATAGCACTCAATCATATAGCACTCATCATCATATAGCACTCATCATCATATAGCACTCAATCATATAGCACTCAATCATATAGCACTCAATCATATAGCACTCATCATCATATAGCACTCATCATCATATAGCACTCAATCATCATATAGCACTCAATCATATAGCACTCAACCATATAGCACTCATCATCATATAGCACTCAATCATCATATAGCACTCAATCATATAGCACTCATCATCATATAGCACTCAATCATCATATAGCACTCAATCATATAGCACTCAATCATCATATAGCACTCAATCATCATATAGCACTCAATCATATAGCACTCAATCATCATATAGCATTCAATCATCATATAGCACTCAATCATATAGCACTCATCATCATATAGCACTCAATCATCATATAGCACTCAATCATCATATAGCACTCAATCATATAGCACTCAATCATATAGCACTCAATCATCATATAGCACTCAATCATATAGCACTCAACCATATAACAC